GAAGGCAGAATCTCCAGTAGGTAATATTCAATCTGTCTGGGTGGAGCTGATGAAAGGAGATACATATGGGTAACTCGTGATACTGTAGTGAATAATGCTTATCGGGACGGATTATGAGGGATGGAAATGCAAAGGTAGAAGTTTTGTAACAAGGAAGGGAGTGATTAATTCTCCAGGATAGGAGCAGAGGCCTCTGGGACCATCAACGGAGAATAGCCGAGAGCGGGACCCTACCCAGAGAAACAGAGATGCCTGAGATAGAGACAGAGATGATGACGTGGAGTGATGAAAGGGCTGAGGACTTTGGACCCAGAGAGGGAAAGGGACTGTGGGCTGAAAACTGGGGGGAGGAGGGGGAAGTGTAGGGGGTGGGTTTCTGGGATATACCCTTTGGGTGGTTGATGATGCATGGAGGGGATTGGAACCATAGCAATGAGATGATATACGATGGAATGAATGTAAAAGTAAAGTTCTCCCATGTAAACTATCATATAATTCACAATAAAACATTAAATAAATAAATAAGTAAAGAAAGAAAGAATATAATTGTAGCATATTTATACTTGCAAAAAAGAAAAAAGAAAAAAGAAAAACAATCTAAATGTTCAGCATTTAAGGAAAGGCTAAATTATAGCTTATGATAAAGTATTAAGTAACCTTTAAAATCATGTTCAATAAGGGGTACCAAGATGTAGGAAAATGTAATCTTATAAAATGAGAACAAAAAGTACCGAATTTTTAAAAATATAAACATACACAATCAGCAAACAATTGGCAAGTTATAAAAATTTAATAATCACTAACATAATCTAGACTCAAATATAGATTCATAAAATTAAAATACTAAACCCAATAATATTGCCCATATTGTACAGTACTGCCCTTGTTCCCTTTTGTCCTAAAAAAGGGAAGCAGACTAAATTTCAGAAATACTTTGTGGTTGCCTTAGTTATACAAGAGCAAACATGCACATTCAAAGTATATTGGTCATTTTTTAACTCCACAGTTCTGTGCCTAGCACAGTTCCTGGCACAGTATAAGAGGCTCAATGAATTTCTTCAAAAGGAAACATTTCATTTCCAATTGAGCACCAAAGGTAAAAAACAGGTTAATTGTCCTCTCTCTTCTGAATATTCTCTAACTGCAGTTGGTTGAATTCAAAGATTTGTAACCTGTAGAGACAAAGGACCAACTATAAAGCAGCCTCAAAATGTTCATTGTAAAAGTGGATTAAAAATTAATGAAAATTTTTCACGAACTTTTTGAAGCCTCTTCATATTATAAATTATAATATAATACAGTAACACCACACAAGAGGTTGCCATTAGTCAGAAATGAATCTCAAAGCAGCTGGTTTTTACTACATGCAGATATGGACTTAAGGATCCGGCAGTGTTTCGTTCTGCTGTGCATATGGTCGCTATGAGTCGGTGCCAATTTGATGGCACCTAAGAACAACTCCCTGCAGCAAAAAATAGCATGCTATAATTCTTAGCCCCGACACCATTTGGATTTCATTTTATTTGGGTTCACAATCAATGTCCAAAGAAGCAGGAGCCAGGAAATTAAACAACATATTACACCAAACAAATCTGCTACAAAAGATCTCTTTGAAGTGTTAAAAAGCAGACTAAGGTGTGCCATGGTATTTGCCATCACCTCAGGTGCATGCAAAAGCTGGACAACGAGAAAAAAAAGACTGAAGAAGAAATGATACTTTTGGATTATGATTTTGGCAAATGATACTGAATAGACCATGGACTGCCAGAAGAATGAACAAATCTGTGTTGGAAGAAGTACAGCCAGGATGGATGTCACTTAGAAGATATGTTGGCCAGACTTCTCACATACTTTGGACAAGTTATAAGAAGGGACCAGCCCCTAGACAGGCCAACATGCTTGGTAGAGGAGAGGGTCAATGAAAAAGAGAAAGATTCTCAATGAGATGGACTAAGACTGTGGCTACTACAATGGACTCAAACATAACAAATAGCCCAGGACTGGGCAGTGTTTTGTTCTTTTGTACAATGAGTCAGAATTGACTGGAAGGCACTTAAAAACAACAGTAATATTTGGGAATAGGATTTTCTTTGTTTTGTTAATGATCTGCATGAATGTAGGGCCTGTTTTGAGGGAATCACTTTTGAGATAAGAAAAAAAGATTAAACACAGAACCCAGGAAGTACAGATGAGGAAAAACTAATGCCACATGGAGGTTACTAAGATATTTAAGAAGAGACGCTAAAAGAGACAAAATTTTTCCCCTAACCGATTGAACTAGCGGTTCCATGAGAGAAAAGAGGAGGCTTTCTGCTCCTTTAAAGATTTACAGCCTCAGAAATCCTGTAAGGGGTGGCTAAGAGTCGGAAGGGACTCCACATAATCACCAACACCTACTCTGCTGATGAGAGAGGAACTGCCCTATTGGGCTGTAATCTTTAGGAAAGCAGTCTGCCACAGGTAAGTTCCAACCAATGAACTGGTTAGCAGCCAAGCACTTAATCATTGTGCCACTAGGGCTCCTTTCCCTTAGAATCCACCCACTGCTTTCCAGTCGATTCCACCTCCTAGGGACTCTATTGCAATGCTCCTTAAGTTTTCTGAAACTGTCAAGGCAGACAGGCCGAGGGGTTTGAACCTTAAGTTAGCAGCCCAGTGCTTAATCTACTGCGCCACTAATTTCCCTCAGAAACGTAAGCACTGGACCAAAAGTTTGGTTGAACCGCTACATCAGTGGTTCAAACTCTCCAGCCACTCCTCGGAAACCCTATAAGGATCGCAATGAGTCAGAACAGACTAGACCAGCACTTAACAACAACAAAGTCAAAACTGACTGGATGGCACTTGAAAACAATAACAAAGCGTGAGAAGATAAATTTGTTCTTTACAACCACCCATTTGTTATTTCTGTAAAAGTAGCACTAGCTAACTAAGCCCAATGTCTTAATTCTTGTAACAATACTTCTAAGTATTACTTTTCATCTTTTAAGATTAGCAAACAGGTTAAGAAATGTTAAGGGCCTAGCCCAAACAGAATCCTGAAACCAAGTGGCAGAAACAAATTTGAACAGTTCTTCGAGCACCTACACAGAAGACATGTGGTTCTTTTCAATAATCAGAAATAACCAGGTTTTCTTCTAAATTTCCTCTTGAATTGTAGTTATTTCTTTTAAGATCCATCCCTTATCCAGCCCAGTTCAAATCTCTGCCTCTGCCCCCAGCCCCATGACTTCAACCAGGGCAGAGGGCCAGGTGCATCTAAAATTTAGTTTGGAACTGGGAAAAGACTCACCCCTCCCTTGGGACTGTTTTATACCCTACACCCAGGAGGATCCTTTCTCACACATTGAGCCCAAGGCCTTTCCTACAAGGTCCGGTACTCCTAGAAAGGAAGTCCAAAAGGGAAGCGGAGCAAGGACAACGCTTTGGTGTGGTTTCTATGACAACGGACACACACACACACACACACACACACACACACAACACCCTCCCCCACTTCCTCCCCACTGTCTCCGCCCCCAGCGAGTCGCCGCTCCGTCCCTCCCTGGCGCCAGAGGTCTGACGACCTCCAGTGAACAAAAACAAAAGGCGCCATGGTTCATCTCTACCTCTGAGAGCTTGGTGCATGCCTCCAACGCCGCTGTATAGTTCCAGAACCCGCAAGGGCTCCATTCCCACGCTGCAGCCGCCACTACCTCGGAACTAGGCCGACGGGTCCTTTGCTCTTCGTCCCTCCCCCGCCGTGCGTTGCACCCTCCGCTTTCTAGTTCCGCGACTTTTCAGTTCCAGCATCTCCTGCTCAGATCTACACCCAGCAGGGTGGCTGGAGGGCTTAGAGGGGTCAAGAAAGAGACAAAGGCCAGAAGACTGATTTTTTTTCTAATGAATAGCAGACACTTTTGTGGCCTGCTTTATGCTTCATGTTTCTTCTTTTGTTTATTCCAGGAACTTTGGTGGAAAAGAAACCAAATCCGGAACTCAGCAGAGGAATGAAATCTGCCTTCTCAAAGAGAGATCCCTGAAAAAAATCCATTTTCAGGCATGTTTTTCCATTCCTTGGAAGCCAGAAATGTTCATATATTCTTTCAACTAGCCTTATTCATGTACCATGTGCCTAGTAATGTGTCTGGGGTTATGAAGATAAATCAGACAGCTTCATGCCTATAGGTCACAGTTACAAAATAGGGAAACAAATACACATGCAACAGAGTCTTTGTTATTGTTGTTAGATGCTGCCGAATGGGCTCAAACTCATATCAAGCCTATGCACAACAGAACGAAACACTGCCCAGTCCTGGACATCCTCACATTTGCTAGGTTACAGCCCATTATTGCAGCTACCAAGTCAATCTGCCTCTTTTTTGCTGACTCTATATGGTAGCATAGTGGTTACGAATCGGGCTGCGAGCTGCAAGGTCAGCAGTTCAAAACTACCAGCGATTCCGCCGGGGAAAGATGAGGCGCTCTGCTCCCGTAAAGATTTACACCTTCGGAAACCCTGTGTAGGGTCACTATGAGTCGGAACCAACTCCACGGCACATAACAACAACAACATATTTCCCTAAAGTAGCTCTAGTACCGTAGTGGTTACCAATCAGACTGCTCACTTCAAGGTCAGCAATTGGCATACCAGCTGTTTTGTCTGGTAAAGCTTGACAGCTTCGGAAACCTTATGTAGGATCGTTATGAGTCAGAACCGACTCCATAGCACATAACCACCACCACCATACTTCACCAGGAGTCCTGATGTGGCACTGTGGGTTAATGGGCTGGTTTAACATCAAAGTTGGCAGTTCGAGCTCACCAAGCTGCTGCTTGGAAACCCTATACAGCGTCCCAGTGGGTTGGAACAGACTGGACGGCGCAAAACACACACATACTTCACCAGAAGTCCCACTATGGTGTTGTAGGACCAGCACTGGACTGCTAACCACAAGCTTGGCAATGCAAACCCACCAGCCGCTTCTTGGAAACCCTATGCAACATCACTATGAGTCAAAACCTACTCTGCAGCACTAAACAACATACTTAACCAAGAGTTCTGGTGTTGTGCTGTTGGATAAGCACTGGACTCCGCTAACCACATGATCAGTAGTTCAAACCCATCAGTTGCTCCTTGTAAACCCTGTTATGAGTCAGAACCTACTCCATGGTACTCAACAATAACACTAATTGACCAAGGGTGATGTTTTCTCCAATAACTGGTGTCCCCTAATACCATCTCCAAAGTATGTGAGACAAGTCTTGCCATTCTCATTTCTACGGAGCATTCTGGCTGTCCTTCCAAGACAGAAGTTTGTTCTTCTGGCTGTCTATGGTTAAATACACTTCACCAACAGCAACATAATTCAAAGGCATCAATTTTTTGGTCTCCTTTATTCATTGTCCAGTTTTCACATGCATATGAGGCAATTGAAATATATCACAGATTGAATCAGAAGCACCTTAGTCCTCAAAGTGACATTTTTGCTTTTTAATGCTTTCAAGAGATCTTTGCAGCAGATTTGCCTAATGGAACATCTAGTTTGAATCCTTGCTTCCATGAACATTGATTGTGGACTCAACATGAAATCCTTTACAATTTCAATCTCTTCTCCATTTATCATGACATTATTTATTGGTCCAGTTGTGAGGATTTTTTTTTCTTTACATTGAGTTCCAATCCATACTGAAGGCTGTAGTCTTTGGTCTTTATGAGCAAGTATTTCAAGTGCTCTCCAACTTTAGCAAGCAAAGTTCTGCATATTGCAGGTTGTTAGTCTTCCTCCAATCCTAATGCTATGCTATTCTTTATATAATCCAGCTTCTCAGATTATTTGCTCAACAAACATACTGAATAAATATGATGAAAGACATAACCCTAATGTATACCTTTCCCGATTTTAAATCGTATACTCTATCTCCTTATTCTGTTGAAATGTCTCTTAGAGTATGTACAGATTCCTCATGAACACAATTAGTGTTCCGGAATTCTCATTCTTCCCAATGTCACCTATAGTTTGTTATGATCCATAGAGTCGAATGCCTTTAAATAGTCAATAAAACATAAGTAAACATCTGTCTGGCATTCTCTACTTTCAGAGAGGATACATCTGACATCTGCAATGATATCCCTTATATAAAGAAGATTGTATAATGGAAAGGTATTAGAGAATTCCATTTTAGTCCTGGTATACAAGTAGTTGTGTGTTTATGGTTTCCTCAACTGTAAAAGAGGAAGAAAGAAGAGGAACTTCATTCACAAGAGCCTATGACCGAAAGAAAAAATATTTGAAAAAGTAAGGCCTCATTTGGCTACCTGCTAATTATCTGGTCAAACTGAAATATCCAGAAATGAGGCAATTTTTATTTGATCTGTATATATTCTTATAGCAATTCACCTGATAGACATTGCACACACATTAATGTTATATATATATATATATATATATATATCAGAAAACAAACTTTTCTAATATTTATTATTGCATTGTTGTTGTTGTTAAATGCCACTGAGTCGGTTCCAACCCATAGCAACCCTGTATAGAGTTTCTGAAGAGCGGCGGCTGGTGAGCCTGAACCTCCGACTTAGTGATTCAAACCTACTTTGCAGTCCAGCGCATTAACCCACCACTCCATTATTAGATTAACAATACATTATTAATAATAAAATAGTAGTGCCATAAATAAATCTACTATTTTTATTATTATTATTATCATTATTATTGTTATCAGGAGAGACTGCTGTCGTTGTTGTTTTGAGCCGTGGAGTCGGTTCCGACTCATAGTGACCCTGCACAGAGTTTCCGAGGCTGTAAATCTTTACGGGAGCAGAAAGCCTCATTTTTCTCCCGCGGAGCAGCTGGTAGTTTCGAACTGATGATCCTGAGGTTAGCAGCCCGGTTCGTAACCACTACACTACCAGGGCTCCTATCAGGAGAGACTTTGTTGTTGTTGTTAAGTGCCGTCGAGTTGGTTCTGACTCATAGCGACCCTGTACAGGGTTTCCGAGGCTATAAATGTTTACGGAAGCAGAAAGCCTCATCTTTTTCCCTCGGAGCAGCTGGTAGTTTTGAACTGCTGACCTTAAGGTTCATAGCCCGATTTGTAACCACTATGCTACCAGAGCTAGTCTAGCCTAAAGGACATCTGTTTGATAGCAGGTCTTAAAGAAACAAAACCCTTAAGGAGATAGATTGAGGCCTTGATTGCAGCAAGGGGCTCAAAATAGCAAGGATTATGAGGATGGTACAGGACCGAGCACTGTTTCTTTCTGTTGTTCATAGGGTTGCTATGAAGTGGAAACAATTCGAGGGCAGTTAATATCAATAAAACATGTAACATAAAAGGAGTCCTGGTGTGGTGCTGTGGGTTAATGCACTAGACTGCAAAGTCAGTTTGAACCACAAGATTGGCGGTTCAAGCTCACCAGCCGCTCCTCGGAAACCCTATACAAAGTCGCTATGGATTGCAAACAACAATATGTCACTTTAAGGACTAAGTTTTGCCTGACCCAGCCCATGGTATTTTCAGTACCTCATATGCATGCAAAAGCTGGACGATGAATAAAGAAGACTGGAGAAGATTCAAAGTATCTGAATTACGGTGTTGGTGACAAATATTGAATATAACGTGGACTGCCAGAAGAAAAAGCAAATCTGTTTTAGAAGAAAGTACAGCCAGATTACTTCTTGGAAGTAACGATAGCAAGACTTTGTCTCTCATACTTTGGACAGGTTGTTAAGAAGGACCAATCCCTGAAGAAGGGCATCATGCTTGATAAAGCAGAGGCCCAACAAGGAAGACGAAGATCCTCAATGTGATGGACTGACATAGTGGCAACAACAATGGATTCACACACAACACTTATAAGGATGACATAGGACTAGGCAGTGTTTCATTCTGTTGTACATGTTGTTGTTAAGTGCTGTCAAGTCATTTCTGGCTCATAGCAAGCCTGTACAGGGTTTCCAAGAACTGCCGATCTTGTGGAGAGCAGCTTATCCTACAGCGCCACACCAGGACTCCATTGTACATAAGTTGGAACCTACTCAATGGCACCTAACAACAACAACACATGGTCTAAATGATTTATCTTCAGTCAGCAACAAATAAATAAATCTAGAACCTGTTTCATGTTAGCACTCTAAGTAAAGTAAGTATGACCAAGGATCTTACCATATAAGGGAGAAATGAAACGTAAACATGAAAAAAGTTGGTAAAAAAGATCAACTGCCTGAGAGAAATATGTTGGAAATGTGAGTCCAGAGCCCACTGGTCCTCAACCTCTAAGTGGAAAAGAGTTTGCTTCTGCACCTGAGAGAACCTTCCATTCCCTTTCCTCTAAAGGCATCTGGAAAATTACATCAGCATGTGGGACCCCTGGTGTCCTTCATTACTTTGTTTAGACTCTTTGCTACTTCTGGAACCCCAACTGGGGGCACATCCCTCGGAGTACATTAAACCTTAGTACAAAACATTGCCAAAGTCCTTACTAAAACAGGAGAAACATTAGCCCTGTTGCGGGAACAAGTAGACTCATTGGCAGGTGGTGTGCCGTGCAGTTGTTTCCTGCTCATAGGGACCCTGCATAGGGTTTCCGAGGCTGTAAATCTTTACAGAAGCAGAAAGTCTCATCTTTCTCCTGCGGAATGGTTGGTAGTTTTGAACTGCTGACCTTGAGCTTAGCAGCC